CTGACGTGATGTCACAGCGCCGAGCGGCGTCTGCGCGCTGACGAGTTTACCCGACATACAAAGTGAAGCCTCGAACTCGTGTTTAAAAAACATACAAGAAAAAGAAATGTTTATAAGTTGGGGGTTAAATTTAAATTTGAAAAGAATTTCAGAGATTTTCTTCATGATCTTTTAGTTTTCTTTAGTCTCAGATGGATTTATTTATTTATTTATTTATTTATTTTAATTTTTTTAAATTTGTTTAATTTTTTTAGAAGATTTTTTGTCAGCTTTTTTTTAAAAATTTCAAAGATTTTTTTTTTAGTTTTTTCCCTAATTTGTAAAATCTCAGAATATTTCTTCTTCTTTTTCTATCATTAAAATTTTCCCTGAAGTTCACACAGTTTTTCCACAGGATCTTTTTTTTTTTCCAGAGAATTTTTGAGTTAATAATAATAATAATAGCACACCCATACAGTTTTAAATATTGTGAGTATGAAAGGACCCGGGGTTTTGAGCTGTGACGGTGAACCATCAGTCTGCAGGAGCTCTCGCTCTGCTCGTTCTGCTGTCGTCTCAGCTGAACGTGTAGAAGAACAAATATCAGGCTCTCAAACTCAAACGAGCCGTGGGCCACCGCTGGCACCGTCACCATGTGACCACTTCACTGTTCATGCAGTGCAAAAAACAACAAACAAACAAGAAAACACCCACAAATATTTCCAAAAATGTAGTTTTTTAAAATGTGTCACTCTTAACTGAAGCCTTTCATTGAACTACCAAACAAACACAAACTGCATAAGTGTCACATTAGTTGTTGACCCTCTCACTGAACTAACAGAGCCGATCCCTCAGCATGTTTGTGCTCTCTGCTCACATTAAATCAGTTTTTGCTTTTTAAAGAATTTATTGTAACAACAAACAAATCCTCTCACGAGTAGGTGACGTGTGCCCGTGTGGCGCCCGGGCCGCGAGTTTGAGACCCCTGGTGTGAACAGTTTAAGTGTTTCTCACACCGAGCAGAGACCAAACTTGGAATTCATGAGAGCATTTTGACGCCTGCAGAGAAACTCGCCCTGACCTTTAAACTGCTGCAGCTGTAGCTCCGTCGTTGAGGTGCTTCGTTGTTTCAGAGCTCGATGTTGTGTAGCTGTAGATTTTCTCACCATGTGATTTGATAACTCTGAACTGTTTTGCCTGCATTACTTGTGGACCTGTTGCGGTGAGTACACGTGCTGCCACGTCTGTGTAGAGCAGTTTACCCGTAGTGCAGATTGTTTACATGTGTGGAGCTTCTGTTTGCA